GTAGTGAGGTTGGTGTTGGTCTCTTTTTCTGAAGTAACAAGTGACTGGACAACAGGAAGCATCCTCAAGTTGGCGCCAGGGAAGGTTTAGATTGGATATTAGGTTAAAATATCTTCACTGAAAGGATTGTCAAGCGTTGGAACAGCCTGCCCAGGGGAGTGGTTGAGTCACCATCCCTGGAGGTATTTGAAAGCCATAGAGATGTGGTGCTTAGGGACATGGTTTAGGGGTGGACCTACCAGTGCTAGGTTAACATTTGGACTCAATGATCTTAAAGGTCTTTTCCAGCCTAATGGTTCTATAATCTATGATTTCTCTTGGAGATGTTGCATGGAAAGGAATTATTTACAGTTATTTCCCTACTCTCTGGAGTCTCTTAAAATTCAAATTTCACTCCTTTTAGCAAGTTATTCCTGTTTTAGTTGCCTGGATAATACTTACTGTCCATTAATATTCATTGCCCACTTATCAATTCCATAAGTGGAATATTGGACTGCATCTAAACTCTGCTGTGCTTCTTCACTGATTAAGGGAGGGTTAGAGCATAATAGTGAATTGGGAACTAAAGGAACTTCACACTGAGAAAAATGCACTTTTCTTGAGTTGATACCTGGCTCTAGTGATTCCTGAGTTAACACAGAATTTACTGACAATTAAGAATATGATTAGTAGCAATGAGCTTTATTCTGTCCCTCTTAAAAAAATATCAGAAATGTCTGTCAGCTATTTTTTATCATTCTATCAAAGTAGTGTTTGGGGGTGATTGGGGAATATTGTAAACAAAATACTTTGCCTAGGACCTGATTCAGCAAAATAATAATTAAGCTTCTGTGCCAGACCATCTTCAGCTACAGAAATCAATTTTTATGGGTTCCAGAGCCTCATGCAGGATTAAGAAATGTGGATCCCATGGGTAGGGGCTCATTTTTGTTGTTGTTAAATATGGTCCTTAGAGTGAAAGGGATATAACTATATTAAATTAGAAAAAGAATTATGTAAAAGATATATTAAACCACAGACAAATGATGATGAAATGATGAAATTACAGCTTGGAGAGTATGGAAGGAACTATAGCATAGAGAAGAACAGCATAGAAAATATGAGTTTAAACCTTTGAATATGAGTAATGATGCGTCAGCACTGGTATCACTGGTTTTCACAATGGCAGTGAAAAAAATCCTAAATTGTAGGTTTGGGAATTTTTTCTGCTGGAGAGTAATGAAAATTAATTTTTTCCATGCAGACTATCTGGAAAAAAAAAAAGAAAAAAAAAAAAGAAAAAAAGAAAAAAGTAATTTAACTAAGTAGTTCTGTCGTCATACCATGTACTTACTCTTTGCATTAATACCTTACATCAGGTTTTGTGTCACAATCTCAGTGAAGTTACCTATAGTCTGTGACATTCCTTGTTCTTTTGCATTAAAGAACTGTATTGTAATCTCCTCGGCTGCCCAACATGGAGCTCAGGTTGATGGGAATTGGAGAAAAACTTCACAGAATAAAATGTAACAGTCTGTAACATACACAAGTTGCAAGCAACACACAGTAATAACAAGTAAATGTTAACAAACAGAGTGAAAGAGAGAAAGAGAAAAAGAGAAAATGTGAAGAACATGTAAAAGAATTAAGATTCCTATATTACCAACTCAGTTACCCCAGTATTCTAAGGCCATTACAATAAAAATCTTTATTAGTTCTAGGTATCTTTATTAAAGTTTCCTGATTTTTATATTACTGCATATTTTGAAAGTTGCTATGAAGCTCTTCTGAATAAATATCACACTGATGGACTTTACACTGGCATGAGAGCAGAATTTAGTATGCTACATGAATCCGCAGAATCCTTCCGACCCAACCTACCTCTTCAACATTTACTCACCACCAAGTTGATCTGGGTTCCTCCAGTAAGCCGTGTCCCCCAGAAAAGGCACTCCAGTGACGGTGGTGACCGCCTCTCCCAGTACTAACTGGCCAACATAGTAACATCACTCCCAGAGAATATCACCTTTGAAAGGTACTACCTCTTGAAGTGAGGTGACAGTATGTTGGTTATCTACCTATTGGTACTACTAGAGGAAATACAGGAGCACTAGCTAAGCAGATCCAGTACATCTTGCTATTACAGGCATTATTGGATACGTGCTTAATGCAGTGTTGAGAACTGCTGCTCCTGGAAGTGCTGCGTTGCAAAGAGCTCTGGAAGATCCTTCCTAGTTTTACCCTGACACTTCTGGGGTTTCACTTACACCCATCCTGGAATTCTGAGAGTCTTACTAATACCGTATTCTGTGGAGTGCTGTGAGTGTTGACAGGTCAGGTAGAGATTGCAGGAGAATGAAGTCAGGTGAGTCTTCTATTATCGCTTTGACTGAGGAATACAGTATGATGATCTGTACAGTATGTAAGGTGTCTGAGACATGGAGCATGGATGAATACAAAGAACAATGACAGCAGGAATGGTAAATTGCTTGTTATTGCTGCTTTGTGCTTATAAACAGACAAGCAAGTAACTAAAAGGCTTGGAGAAAATTTCCAGCAAGTACAGAGTAAGAGGGATATAAGCAAGTAGACTGAGCACAGAACTGGCACCTCACACTCTAGACTGTTTTGTCCCTGGCCTTTTGTAGTAATGGGTAAGTGATCCCATCTGTCTAGCTCTACTGCAGTAGAGATGTACTTCTTGCACAGAGGTGCCTTTTGTTGTATTCTGTCCTGCAAACCCCAGTCTACTCAGGCCAGGAGAAGGGAGAGATGCCAAGAGTACCTCTTTGTATCCCAGGAATGAATTCTGCCCTGGATGTCATGGGAGCTGCAGTGGCAGGCATGTGTGTGAGAAAGAGGATTTACCATAATTACATCTGCCTTGTGCTGGAGAATTGGCACAGGTTGGCCTTCTTTGGCTTGTGTGGTTGTATCTGTGTTTTCCCATCATTAAAAGTACCTTGTGCTCATTAAGTTATTAAGGCATGAAAACTCGTAAGATTTATTATTTAGCTTTGCATTTGTTTTTCAGCTTAGTACTGTCCTGCCCCTGTGCACACTCACCCCTGGCTATGGCCAGACCACAGGAGGCTGTGTGGAGAGATTTTTTTTTCACTATTTTTCTTTAATGTCTCACATGGTGACAGAAAAAAGTGGGAACCCAAAGCACTGTGCTTGAATTCATAGCTCCTCCCTTTTGTTTTCAAATGACTTGGTATAGAGGATGGTATTTTTTAACCAAATTCTAAAGTAAACAAGCATTGTAGTACAAGTGACACCCACCAGTTGTATCTCTACAGGAAATGACAGATGAATAATTGTACAATGAAGTGTTACATTATATTAATTATAAATTATGCTTGTGTGTGATCCACAGCTATGAGATTGCAGAAATGCCACATGGGACAGAGGAAAAGAAAGATCCAAATTGCTTCCACCTAACTGTAGGCACTTAACTGAGGATCTTAAGTTAGAGGTGCAGTCACCTGAGTTTACTTACGGAGAAAGCCACCTCCAGAAGGCAGCTCATATCACAATAACTCTCTGGGGCTGCCTGATACTTAAGGGGACCTCAGGCAAATACATCTTAAGTTAGATGAGAAGAACTGAGCAGTATTCCTTTTGTATTGAGCTGTTACAATTTCTATTAGATCCATAAGACTCCATCTTCAGTGATATGATACAAACATTACCTCATTTGCTATTTTGGAGCGATGAATTTGGGGTATTTAAAGGCTAGGAAGGCTAAGTATGGGCAGGAAAGAAAAATCATCTTCCTATTACTTTTTCCACTGCCTTTTCAGTATTTATGTCAAACACATTTAAACTTCAAAGACTTTTGAGCTGAAATAGACCTAAACTCTTGGCAGTTACATTGCTATCTACTGCCCATCTTACAGAAAGGGACAAAGGTTTTATGACACTAAAATCAGATGAGATTTTTTTTTCCTAATATTCAAAGGCATTTGATCGAGAATTTGCTTCCCTGTGGATTAAAGGACCACCACAGTGACTAAATACTGTCTTTAACAATGCTTTGCTATCATAAAAGCCACTGAAGTTCACACAGTACAGTGAAATGTTAGGCAGCATAATGGGCCTGTGACAAGAACTGCCAAGAGCCCCCCACTCCCACTGAGCTTTGGCACTAGAATTACCGTGCTCAGCACACTTCTGACATTAGAACCAGTGTGTTGCACAAGGAGTACAGGTTATTTAGGCTATGGTGACAGAAGGGATGAAAAATGAAACCCTGAGAAAAGAGCAGCTCCTTCAGAAAGCATGACTGATAAAACCAAAATGGTAATTCCATGTTATTTCTCTGAAAGGCGATCAGCTCTCTCTCAGGAAATTGCAGTGAAATAATAGGTCCCTAATGTCACAGCTTATGCCAGTTGATTTGACCATGGGAACACGAGTCACTATAACTATGTGATTTCCCTCTGTCAGCGATAGACTTGGATTGCTTGAACTATTTCAGACATAGTGATAGTCAAGGAGTGGGTTACGGAAAACAGTAATTTGAGCAGGTAAGTAAAACAACCACAGAAGTTTTTCTGAAGCTAAAGATTGTATTAGCAATGACAGGTATTTTCCCTCTCTTCTTAGGTGCCTGAATTCTAGTTATATTTCTTCCATATTTTACAGCTATGCAATAAACAGAGAATTTTGCCATCAGTACACTGTGAAAAAGGGTGCACAATATATTTCTATGAGATACAACATCCTTGGAGTTTAGCTTAAGAGAATCTGCATGCAGAGAGGATCAGAGAGGTGAGGATTTCTTTTCTTGGCCATATTAAAGTCAATGTAAACACTGTGTGTGTTGGTATTGTAAATAGATATACAAAAACAATAAAAGGTTGGGGTAGATCTCTGAATAAACCCAAGTTAACATCAGCTGTGCTTACAATATATGGATCCATTCTCTGTGGCACCAGACAGTACTGTAGACATCAAATGAAGTTATGAATTCCAATCATATTCTAAATTTCTTTCACAGTGTTGGAAAATTACATTCACCAGTTCATCCTATGGCAACTTTAAGATGTAACCATGCAGTCAACCTCTCCTTAAGGTAAGCACATAGAGAGGGACTGAAGAGCTGAGTAACACTTTTAAAACAAAACTGAGAACTTTCAAGATTTGTTTTGCATGTTTTGTAGTTTTCTTATAATTTTCATATAAATTGTACCTTAAAGTATTTTACTATGTGCACTGAGATAAATTACATATACCTGTAGGACACTGTGTGGTCTGGGACAGAAATCAGCTGAATTTAAGTGGTTGAAACTGGCTTTTTCTGGTTTGCTTCTATTTGAAGCAATTTTTGCTTTGCCTTTTTTCCTATTTTGCTTCTGTTACAATACTGACTGTTTGAAATACTCAGAAGCCTGTACATAAGAAGACACTGCAGCACAGCAGACTATGATTGACTGATGTTTGTTTAGTTACGATGAACTAATGGCTTTGCTGTAGATCTTTCAAGTGATCTTGCTCAATTAAATTAATCCCCCTATCAAATGAAAATACTAGAGATTACTTCCATTTTTCTCTTTGCTGTCTACTTAGCCTGTCGGATATTTGATTGCAATATAGTGGTTAGCACATAGTGATGGCAAAATGAAGCCTTAATTTTGAATGGGGCCTGCAAACAACACTGCTACAACATGCTGTGTGTATTTTAAGTGAGGGGACACCTTGTCATCTATAGCCTGAGATATCCTTGGGTCAAGGAGTTTTAGTCAAATTGGTCAGGTAGGATCTGCTCCTTTGTATCAAGCCCTGTTTGTCCAGGCACTATTTAAGCAGTATCTTGCAAATTTACAGGCATCAGAAACTAACACAAAGAAGACTTTTTTTTGTATAGAGAAATCTCTACTTTCTTAATGCTGCTGGTGAAGGCCTGCCTTGCAGCTGTAGCTCTGCCATACTGTACTCTGAAGTGCCTTTCCTCCCCAGAAAGGGGAGGCATGGTAGGGTTAAATTCTGACATTCTTCCTATCAGATTAAAACCAAGTGCTGTTATTTAAAGATACCCTCCTGCCAGGTGTAGACTAGCCCAGGACTGAGCTGCTGAGAGTGTTGGGGACAATTTAAAAATTTAATTCAATCCTACCAGAATTTAAATTTAAACCATCTTTGCTTTGCCTATAGATGACCATAATAGCATCATTAGCAGCAGCTGTGCAGCCTGTGGGCAACGTTCTGCTGTTTGCATGTCTGTGCCAGGAAAATGCTCCTTAGCCGGAGAGGAGGCACTGGGCTGTGGCTGTGCAGAGCTCTCTGTAGTGCCCCCTTGGCCCTGTGTGTATGGACCAAGAACAGCTGTGAGCTGCTGACTCGGTCCATTAGAGGGCTATAGGGGGACAGTCATATGTGAAACTGTTTCACAATCATAACTGTTTTGTGAAGCATTTAATCATTCTACCACATATGATATATGGAATTAATAACTTCATGTGATGTCCCTTACACCTGAGCAGCTAAGCAGGCTTTTTTTGGAATAATGTATTAAATACACATCATATGATCTTGTATCACCTGGATACTGTCACACTGAAGCTTTACAGTTAAAATTTACAAGAAATATCTTGGAAAACACAGGCATTATTTTAGAAACATTAGGCACCCATTCTGTGTTCCTATTACAGTGTTAACTGGATGTTTACAGTTAGGTGCTGTTTACCAATCCAGATATTTTACAGTATGGGAAACACTATTTGAAACTCTGTTTTCGTATAATGTGCAGATTATAATTTCAGGAACAAGTCAGTGCCTATCAATTCTTCGTATTAGATAAGTGAACCTCAACTTCCAAGGCAATGCAGATCTTGTTTTTACAGTTTGGTATGATCTTATGTATTATTTTTTACTTTTACTTCTCACACATATAGATTTTTCCCTATTAGGAAGCAAAGAGACACAGGCACTATTTTTTGCTGCTAGTGATGCATAATAATTATGAGAAACTGAACTCCAGCAACAGTGTCACCAAGTCCATTTTGTTAGCTGAAGTGTAAGTGTGCTTTGTTACTTCTTAAAATATATATGCTTGTATACTTCTATAAAAATAGTCTCTCTTAATTATTGCAGAAACAGATAAGTTGCTGTTACTATCAATACTTCATGGATATTGTGGTAACAGCTGATTTTAGAGCACTGGTGGTGGCAAAACAGTTCCACATTGAACCAAAATTACATGTATTCTCAGGATACCAGTGTGGAATTGCACTGAACTCGTAGAGTTCTTAGTCCTCTTAGTTTCCAGAGAGGACCAGGGTAGGTAATGGAAGCAACTTTGTAAAGTAAGGGGTTTCTGAGAAGAAAGTCACTCTGTAGCTGACTGCTAAAGTACTCAAGGTTCTGGCATCTCTTGCATGTTACAGTTGGGTAGTTGGCATATTGCTCATAGTAGGGGACAAACAGTAGTGTTTGTGCCCTCTTTCCCTCTTGACACGTGATGCCACAGCGACATCTACTCATGAGAACATTTGCTGCTTGGACATGAGTTGTGATAAGCATTTGCAACCTGAGGGGGATGGATGATAAAACCATATGCTTGTGCACCAAATATACAATAGGAAAGAGACAGTCTATTCTCACGTATGAATTGTGATTGGCCTGTTGCAATGGAATAGCCTTTAACAAAAAATAATAAAGAAAGGTATTTACCTTCTGAATGGATTTTACATAGTTGCACAAAAGGGAAAAGAAATAAGGATAGAGAAAAGAATAGAAAAGAAGAGAAGGGTTCCCACTAGCTCTTCCCCTCCATAAGTAGCATTGGCATTGGTGAAGTCACACACAAAGGAAAGTCTCACTTTCTTTGTGCATCTCACAATGACATTAACATGCATGGCTATGAGATGACAAGAGAATACCTCACTCACAATGAGTAACAAATTATAACTTTTTTCAAAGTAAAAAAATGGTAACACAAGACCATCATAGGTATATGCTAGCTCTTTCAAAACATGTCTTTTTTACTAGATGTCAATTAAAATCACTTGGCTGGTTATCTGTTCGATCTTATACAAGAGCGGGATATTCTGAATAAGCTGAAGAATGTCTACTATGCAACTTGACTGGAACACCTGCCAAAAATTAAGTGGGCTTTGTTTTCAACATGGTTATCTACTTGAAATTACTCCATAGAATAAATAGTTGTATTCCATGGGTAGAGGTAGATTATGGGGTTTAAATAATCAAATTGGAGCCCCGTAATTTCATGTGCTTTAGGAGGATTCTCATAAAACTGAGATATTCCCATAATTAACCACTAGCCATGGGATATTATAATATATTCCATGGTGACTAGTATTTTTTTCCATTTCTCTGCCCCCCTCCCATTAGAATTAGTATGATTAATTTTGCTCTGGTTTCACCTATTGCTAACGAGAATCAATTAAATTAAAACCAAGAATACCATATTATGAGGCACTCTGTTTAGGCCAGACTGGCCGGTAATGACCAGTCAGACCTTTTCCAGTAGGCCTTAGCTGCTAGAAGGAGCAGTTGTGTGCTAAAAGGTTGAAGGAGCTGTAACTCACCAACCCACACTTGCAAAAGGAGCATGTTTTAGAAAATGTGGCTCAAAGCTTTTCAAAGTTCAAAATGCTAAATTCCAGTGGAATATTATAGAATAGATTGATTTGCATGCCATGGAATAAACATCCTTACATCTCGTCTTGTCTCAGAGTGAGTCATTTTGCATTAGTGTCAAGAATTTGAGCTGTTGTTCTACTTTGCAGTTAATCATCAGAAAGAGACGGGATTGTCTCATGAATATGCATGATGGTATGGTTGTCCCTTCAACTTACTAGGCACCTAGTTTCTGTAATGAGATGTACAATATCTGCCATTTAAAACAGCTGAAAGGTCCCAAATGGGAACAAATGAGAAAGCATCGGGCTGTTTCGAATTCCAGCCCTGTTTTGTCAGAAAACTCTAATTGCTGAGTACTTGGCTCCTACTCTGCTCTATGAAGCATTCAGCTCTCAGGAGCCTCTGAGATGCATTACCCAGTCCAGCAACATAGCTGTAGAACTCTCAATTGAAATTCTTCCACTAGAAGCTTTTCAAATATCTTGAGACTTGTATGCCCTTAACCAGGACCAAAGTTTGGGCTCCTAGAGCGTGCTCTCATCCTTAGTTTTGCTGATCAGCCTCCACTGTACCGTTTGTCCCTGCAACCTAGACTTCACACATATTATTCACTGTGTGATGGTGGGACTAGAATGGATAAATGTGCTACCCATTGCTCTAAGCAAGCAGTCTGGCTGAATCTGAAATCACTACGCGGGATGGAGGTTAACGGTCAGATGGACATTCCTCTAAGAGGTTTCCTACCTGCTCTGTTAATTTCTAAAATTTCTTCTTGGGCCAGTGGGCAAGTGTCGCTCTGAGTACTGTGGTGTGGAGAGTTTACGACAGATTTACAATAATTGGGGGATCCCAGCTGGGGTGGCCTCGGGATATGCTTCTTTTTTTTCTTTGGTAGCTTCTGCTTAGCCATAGCTAAGGAGTAATACATTCCGAAATTGTTCACAATGACAGGGACAGGCATGGCAATGGTCAGCACACCGGCAAGAGCACAGAGGGCCCCCACCAGCATGCCTGACCAAGTCTGAGGATACATGTCTCCGTAGCCCAGGGTCGTCATGGTGACAACAGCCCACCAAAAGCCGATGGGGATATTTTTAAAGTGTGTGTGTTCACTGGCACTAGGGTCATTTGGTTTAGCACCTATTCTCTCGGCATAATAGATCATCGTGGCAAAGATTAAGACGCCCAATGCCAAAAATATGATGAGCAGCAAGAATTCATTTGTGCTGGCACGGAGAGTGTGTCCCAAGACCCGCAACCCAACGAAGTGGCGGGTCAGCTTGAAAATTCGCAGGATTCGCACGAAACGGACTACGCGGAGGAAGCCCAGGACATCCTTAGCAGCTTTGGAAGACAGGCCACTGAGTCCAACCTCTAGATAGAAAGGCAGTATGGCCACAAAGTCAATGATGTTCAAAGAGTTTTTGATAAATTCCACCTTGTTTGGGCAGAAAGTGACTCTCATCAAGA